CTGTCCATTAGGTAATTGTCGCCCTTGACGTCCCTGTGGGCGATGTTCCTTCAGCGGCAGCACGCTAGAGCATGGAGAAGAGGCACGATATTGCACGGATGACAGAAACACCAAGCGTTGGGTGAAGTCATACATGTGCCGCGCAGTTCATCGCAAAACTTACCCGATGGACACGGCAACGAAAACGACACCCAAACTGAGTAGCGACATGCTCATAGTAATGGCTCTGGCTTGTTGCGATCTGCTCTTAGTATAGCATTCCCACCCATCAGCAACATTTGCGGAGAACGCCTGCGTCTGCCGTGCGTGCCTTCTCTTGATGGCTCCAAGCTTCCAGCCACTCGTGGATCCCTCAGGGACCCCCCGACGCTGATGCCGACCTGCCTGGCAGATCTCGGTGCATGGATGTGCAGTGAAGGGAGAGAAGGAGGGGGGGAGGGAGCAGAAGGCAGGGTGGAGGGATGGGAAGGAGGGGAAGAGGGAGGTCTCTGGAGGTCTCCCGAAGTCACCAACAGGCCTCCTCCACAAGCCTCCACACACCATGACAAAACACCAGAGGCGTACAGACCACTCGATCCTCCATCCGGGACCCCCCCCGAGGTCCATCCTGACCCGTTTTCACCTCGGATCGATCTCTGACGGTCCAGGGGGCCAAGAGTGGACCCCCAGGCCGAGATGAACAGGGAAACGAAAAGTGACATAAACATAAAAACCCGGAGGTCCGGGCGGATTTCTCGGATCGGCGCTGGACCCCCCTCCCTGGCGCGCGGAGCGCGCCAGGGGCTGCGCCGAAGGCGCCGCCAGGGGGCCCCAGCGCCGATCCGAGAAATCCGCGCGGACCTCCGAGTTTTTAACTTTATGCCACTTTTTGTTCCCCTAATATGAAGGACAAACCTGCCATGCAACTTCCTCGATCCCCTCTCCGCTGGAATCGAGGATCTTCTGACCCGGGTCAATCCAGACCTAGGGTCAGCCAGGCCTTGCAGAATCCTGCAACATCCTGCAGGATCCTGCACCCAAACCCAGGTCAATGCGAAGGATTCTGCAGGATCCTGCACCCAAACCCGGGTCCATGTGACCCTGGCCCTGCAGGATCCCGCAAGATCGGGCGCTCTGGCTGACCCCCGTTGTCATTGACCTCCGTCTCTTGGTGGTCCCCAAACGTGGTGGTGAGAACACCCGGTGGTGAGCTTTGAACGATTTGGGTAATGGTTTTCGAGCGCAGGCTGGCCCAGGAAACGCAGAACCTCGTGGCGACCGCGTGTCCCCAAACCTGGTGGTGACCCAGAATTATTTTTGAGGGAACTCGGGGTCACCACCGGGTGTCTCACCACCTGGTTTGACTACCTACCAGACCACCCCAACCCAACCCGAAAACCCGAATTTGTCCCGAATTTCGGGTTGGGGGGGGGGAAGGATTCCTTGTGTTTTTTCAACGTTCCCCGACCCCCCCCCACTGGAACTGGAGGGCAAATTTGGGCCTTCGGGTTGGGTTGGGGTGGTTTGGTGGGTGGTGATGGTTTGGAGACCACCAAGTCTCTTGAGCCCCGCTGAAAGCTCTGCTGCGCCCCCGGCGACAAGCTGGTCTGCCACGCCACGCCGTGCGCAGCGCGTGCGAGCCGGCGCTCTCGCGGCTCGTGCCAGGCCGCCGCTGCACGGGAGGCGCCCCGCCGACCCCCGCGCTCGGAGCCCCGAGGAGGACCGGGGAGGACGGCAGGAACTGAGCCGGAGCTGGAGCTCCTCGGCCCTGCATCGCTCCTCGGCCCTCGATCCTCGCTGCTTCTCGATCCTCGATCCCCCTCGGTCCCCGACCCTCGATCCTCGACGCTCCTCGATCCTCGATCCCCCTCGGTCCCCGACCCTCCTCGACTGCGCCGCGCTGCCATCGGAGCCGGTTCGACTCTGGGCCACTGGCGCCGCTCAACCTTGAGGACCCACGTGGGGCGGGGGGGGCCGCCGCGTCGACGCGGCGGGAACCACTGCAGCATCCGAAGGGAGATGACGCTCGAGGGACGCCGCGCTGCCATCGGAGCCGGTTTTAGGACGCAGGAGGGCGGGCTGGTACAATATGCGCACCCCCTGGAGGCGCACGACCGAAGCGAGCGCGCAGTGCAAACACCGCCCAGCTTTGGTGTCCGTTCCGTGGGAGCCTGCGTGGCCCCCGGCACTGTCCAATCTGGGCCTGATCTGGACCAGATTCGGAGCAGATTTGGACCGGCTTTGGACCAGACCTGGACTGGACTCGTGGGGCTGCATAGGAGAACGAGGAGGGGGAGGGGGAGCAGGAGGGGAGAGGAGGAGCAGGAGGATGGGCCAGATGCGGTCCCCACGCTGTCCACATTCAGGAAATGCTGATTTCAATGTCGCCGCCCAAGGTTCTCATGAACAGACATCGAATCGATAACTGTCGCTTCTGTCAGTCGGCACGGGCGCCGTTCTCTCTGGAGAGAGGGTGTCAAGACCGGCTGGTGGGGACGCAGATCGCCATCTCAAGCAACGACTGCTCCAGTCGAGGCGTTGACCTAAGGAACCCTAAATAAGGGACGAGGCCCCTATTTTCCCAAAGTTGAACTTCGATTTCGTATCGATAACCTAAGGAAAATCCAAGGCAAACTGCGAAACAATTAAGGAACACGGAGCCCCTCCCCAACGAAAAGGGTTCCTTCTTCAGGGCCCCGACTGTACAGCGACTGGGCGAGGGACCGAAGGGCCGACGCAACCGAACGGACGACTGGAAGAACGACGTTCCTTTGCTCGGGCCAGAGTGAATGGAGTTGAGCAGGGTCCGACCGTCCCAGCATTCCCAGCATTCCTATAGTCCTAACGCGAACTGTTCTAAGAGCACAAGATATCTCCCAACGACGCGGAACAGTGTTCTTAGACCACAGAACCGCCGTGTTAAAACAAGACCGCATCAGCCAGACATGCTCTAAGCACACTTCGCGCAGACCACACAAGGTTCTTAGAACATTATGTGGCGGACCTGTAGGAAAGCCCGGACGCCTCGTCACTGCTTGATTGAAACAACGGCAGCTCAACATCGGTCCCCAGACCCTCCCTCTGGGGTCCAATTGCACCAGTTCTCCAAGCTGCGTCCAGCCGTGGCGACGAGGGGGCCACTCGAAGGCCAACTATGGTTGTCCCAACTCGCTCTCCTCTGATTTGCCCTCACGGATCAGTCCGCAACGTAGATGTCGACTGCGTATGGCCAGCCAGGCTCGTGGTATTTGCCTGGCCCAGGCAGCCGCGCGTCCTCCCGTGGATGTAGCACAGGGAGATCGCCATCTGGAAGCTGATGTGCGCCACCGAGAAGCAGTCGATCTTTCCCTTCTCCTGGCGGCAGCGCGCAACGGCATGTGGAAGCGGCAATCGGCATACTGGCCATCGCTCGGACGTCCATTCCCTGTGTTTTTGTTCGGTTTCGTGCGTGGCTTCTCCGCAAAATGATCAAGGATGCTCATCGATGTTCCTCGCCGAAGGAAAAATGCACACGTCCGAGCGATGCCAAGGCAGTCGGCCCACGGTCGGGAACGTTGTGTGGCGTGCCGCGGCGGCGGACAAGCGCATGGCGTGTCGCGCCGCTTCGCTTCGTGGGGCGGGCGGCTGGGAGAGGCTCGGGGCGCTGACGCCTAGAAATGGGAAAAGGGGCAGCGTGTCCTGCCCTTAGGAGGCAACTACTGGGAGGTTTTCGTCGGAAGGATTAAGGAGGATTAAGCCCCATTGGGGGGCTGTTAAGCCAGAATGGGCCTCGGATCAAGCGGGATTGAGCCGGATTAAGCGGGATTGACCAGGATTAAGCCAGATTAAACGGGATTAAGCGGGATTCAGCCGGATTCAGCGGGATTTCGGACCAGGGCTAAATCAGAATTTGACCTCCCAGGAGTTGCATCCGAACTGCCCTTCGTGGGCCCCGGAAACGGCAAGGCCGTTGTTTCACCGTTTCCCCAAAAATGTCCCTTGAAAAAGGGAAACGGCAAAAAAAACTGCGACCGGAAACGGCAACAAAAACGGCTCCAGGATTGGAGCCGGAGCCGGAACCGGTCAAACAACGGCGACGGAACCGGTAGAAAAACGGCGTCGGAATTGGTAAAACAAAAAAAAAAAAAACGGAACCGGTAAAAAGACGGCCCTGTCGTTTCCAGGGCCCACTAAGGTCCTGCCGAGGCGTGATGAGCAAGAACCGGCCGCGCGACAGACTAGGCCGACATTCCTGACCGTGAGTGTCCAGTTGCCTGCCAGGCACAAAGCATGCGGTCGCGCCTGACTAGGGGGCCACATGCGAACCCTACCCCTACCCCCCACAATTTCTGAGGGGGAGGGTGGGGCTCACTTCGCTCGGGAGCTCCCGAATGAAGTGAGCCCCACCCTCCCCCTCAGAAATCGTGGGGGGTAGGGGCAGGGTTCGCGTGTGGCCCCCTGCTGATGGAACTCGCTGATGATACGGCGATGGCATGTTTTCCTTCACCTCTTCGAGGGTGCGCGGACCCCCCCGTGATCCTAAGATCATGCTCGGGAGCGGCCAAGAGGGGGGTGTCCAAGAGGGGGGGGTGCAAATCATGACCCGCGGCATGTGCGCGGCCCAGCGGGGGGGCCAGGGACGTAATGAAATAAGAAGAGGCGCCATGAAACCTGGGAAAATATCATGACCCCCGCCTTGATATCCAACCTCCCCCTAGTCATCACCCCCCTCTTTTCCGCCCCCGACATGCACAGAGGCGCGGGCGGGGCCCCCGGGAACCAGGCCGCACCGCCCAGGGCTCGTCCTCCTGGGGCCCGCCGTCCCCCCGCGCCGCCGCCGCCGCCCTCTGCTCGCGGGCCGGGCGCCCGCGGCCTCGCGAGACCTGGCCGTGGGGATATCGCCGCCGGCCTCCTCAGAGAAGGAGCCCTCCAAGGCCTGAAGCCTCCTGGGCACACTCCTGAACCAACGCCCCCACTGTATGTGAACGGGCGGAGAACCGTATAGAATAATTTTTGTTCGCCGTCGGGGGCGCCTGCCCCTGGGCAGCTGGAAAGTTTGTACCCTTACGGTGGCACCGTAGGGGTATAAACTTTCCAGCCGCCCAGGGGCAGGCGCCCCCGACGGCGGGAAGTTTATGTTATACGGTTCTTCGCTCGCTGAGCACCTCCTGGGCCTGCATGCACTGGCATCCGCCGGGCCCGCGATGGTGGATCCGTTCCCGCGCCCCTCGCGTGTGTCCGCACAATTTCTGCAAACGGCCCGCCAACTCCTTATCCAGTATCACTCCCGCTACGCAGCAACAATTGCATTCAATACGCCAACCATGCAACTGATCCGTGGATTCTGGTTACCGCGCAGCTACCCCCGAGTCGCCAAGTCCTGCTTCAACCACACCAGCCCAATCACTCGATCGCACTACACGCGTTGTGCTGCTGCAGACGTCGGCGTCGGTTTCTGACGCCGCGGGGATCGTTCAACATTCAGCGATCGCTCCTTTCCCATCGCGCAGATCGTTCGATATCGGATGACTCTGGACCGCTGGCGGCGTCCGACCTGGAACGCCCACGCTGCGGTCGCCGCCGCGACGCTGCGGTGCAGACCTGCCGCACACAAGAGCATCATAACTGCTGCTTGCCACGCCGCGAAGCCTCCGCGCCCTCCGTAACTGCGCCATGCAATGCTACGTTAAGCGTTGCCGGCCACATGCCCGTCTGCTGGAGGCACAATGACTCACACTCAATACCTCATGGTGCCCTGCCAGTCGCTGGTCCTTCGCTCTACTCACCTACGACTGTGATCCGCTGCTTCCCAGGCCAGCGACGGCGACAATGATATGGAGTCGAGCGAGAACGAAGCCTGGCCTCCCCAGACTGACCCGCTCCGCCCCTTGTCCTCTTTCTTCCTCTCTCCGAGCCTCTTCCTCCGTGCAGGAGGAGAAGGCGGAGGGGTGGAGGAGGAGGGGGTGGAGGAGTAGGAGGAGGAGGAGGAGGAGGAGGAGGAGGGGATGAGGAGAAGGAGGAGAAGGAGGAGGAAGAGGAGAGGGAGGATCAACGGGAGCTGCGTCACAGGAGAGCCCTCGCTCGGTGTGCGCCCGTGGCGAGGAACAACTGCGGCGGCAGGCTCCACGAGGAGGGCGAGACCCGAGCTGCGCGGCCGCGGTGGCAACACACGCAACAATAGGTCTCGTGGGCCGCGCCGGCGGCCCACGGGAGGCTCGGCCATGCCCTGGGATGGCTCCCCGCGGCCATGTTGGTGGGCTGTTTTCCACCGCCACCACCAGAAGTAGGAGGGGGAGGGGGTCCTCCTCCTCCTCCTCCTCCTCCTCCTCCTCCTCCTGTTCTTCATCCTCCTCATCCTCCACCTCCTTCCCCCCTCCAACTACTGGTGGTGGTGGAAAACAGGCCCATCACATGTGCGAGGCGGTCGCGGCGGCGCGACTGTGGAAGATGCCCGCAGGCTTGACCCAGGAGTCCGAGGAGATCCTCGGGCATGGCAGCTCGGGGCGCCATGCCCCCCCCCCCCCACACCCGGAGCGCGTCCTCTTCTAGCCCGCCCCCCCCTTTCCGAAAGAGGAAGCTAAAGGGTGCTAAGTGAAGGAGGGAGGGAGGAATGGACAGAATCGGAAGCGTCGGAACGAGAATGCTGAGGAACACTGCCCACGAAGATAAATGAAAGGTAAGCCGAGACAGAGAAACAGAGAAAAGGAGAGAGAGAGAGAGAGAGCGATAGGTAGATGACGGAAGAGAGGTATACACATATTACATATGTATATATGTATAAACTACAACAAAGCATCAACACGCACACACACACACACACACACACACACACCCGCGCAAACACACACAAACACACACACAGGCACAAACACACACACACACACACATCTAGACACATGCGCACACACACTTGCACAACACCACACACCTACACCCCCCCCACACACACACACACACACACACACACACACACACACACACACACACACACACACACACACACACACACACACACACACACACACACGCACACACACACACACGCACACACGCACACACGCACACGCACACGAACACGCACACGCACACGCAGACACGCACGCACACGCACACGCACACGTATACGCACGCGCACATGCACAGCACACACACACACACACACACACGAACACACTAGCACACACACACACACTAGCACACACACACACACTAACACTACCACACACACAAACACTACCACACCCACACGACCACACACACGCGCACGCGCGCACACACAAAAACACCTTCACACAACCACACACACATACACACATGAACCCATATACACACACATACACACACACACTAACGCTACCACCCGCACACACACACACACACACACACACGCACACACACACACACACACACACGCGAACGCACGCACGCACGCACGCACGCACGCACGCACGCAGGCACGCACGCACGCACGTACACACAAACACACACTTTTTGGCGTCGCGGCCCAGCGCGCAGCGACAGGGCGTAGGAAGGTCAGAGAAGCGGGCGCGCACGTGCGACACTCGCACAGACACACACACACAGACACAGCGAAACCATCTCACTCGGCCCCTGGATCTGCAGGGGACCGTCGAACCTGAGCCTCAACACGACCATCTAGCTCGCGGTGGCCCAGCTCTCCGGCTCACGAGCGCCCTTTCAGGCTTTTAACGAAAACACGCAGCCTCCATCTTAGTCCGCGTGGCAGGAGCCGAGCGGGTGAATGTCATCACCCCGGGATGCAGACAGCGGGGGCGCCCTGCGCTGCACTTTCGCCGCCGCTGGGGGCCACCCGGCAGGACAGCCAGGTCACAAAACATTTGGCGTCCACGTGGCAGGCTCGCCGAACGGCTGGGGCCGCAGGTCGCCCAAGGACTCAACGCCGCTCGAGGGTCCCGCGACTCCCACAGCTAGTTGAGGCGGAGGGCGGCGGCGCTCTGTCTGGCGACACCCTCCGCCCGCGCCCAGGGTTAGGTCGGGCATGTCCTCGTACAGGCGGGTAGTGGACGGAAACTAAAAAATGGTCAAACAATACTCCAACGATGTTCAAAAGTAGTCAAAACATCGTCCCCGGACTACTTGGGCTATTTTTGCATATTCCTCCCCGTAGATGGACAGGCCCGACTTAGGTGAAGGGCGATCTCTCCGCCATCTCATTTCTGCTGGTCGCGGGGCCCTTTGCGTGGAAGGCCAGCACTCTGGCGAATGGGACGCGCGCGGGCGCACGGGGCCCCGACAGCACCCGAGCCATCGACGACCTCCAGCAGCAACTCAAGAGGTGCCCTTACAGCCGCTCGGCATAGCGCAGCGGCCGACCGCGACCTCCAAGATTATGAGCATGGCAGCATCCTCGCCGTCACAAGCAAGCTGGTCTGGCCCAAACTGCTGCGAGACTGCCCGGTGAATACAATCAACCCGTATCATAGATGAGGATGCAAGGGCCTTGGAAGGCCACGTCGAACCGTTTGAAGCGGAGCGCGGCCAACGAAAGATGCCAAGGATGGGCCGAGGAGGCAAGGATGCAAGGGCACCCTTTGGGAAGGGTGCCCATCCTGACTATGCGGGCTGACTGAAACTCTAACATGCTCGCGTTCAGAATTGAGCAACGCTGCCGACAAGCCAGCCGTGCGAATGGACGGGAACGAGCAGTCAAAGCCTGGCCGCGCTACGTACGAAGCAGAGGCCTCGGCACCGCGACATCTCACCTCCGACTCCGACCAGCAGGCAGGGCGGGGGCGCTTCAGCCGCTGGCTCGGGCATGGACAGATACACGCTGCGAGTCTTCCGCGCCGCTGAAATTCAGACCGCGACGCTCCTTCCTGGGCCGCTGTCCCAGCGCGGGCGTTGTCCCAGCGGCAAGACGCCGCGCGCGCCAGGCGGCCTGGCGGCGCTAGACCTTGAACGCCCGCGCTGGGGTCGCCGCCGCGCCGACACGACGATGACCTACCGTACTCAGCCCGAGGAGTGCTCCAATCGGCTGCACGCAGTGCGTGGCCCTACGCCCTGGGCTTAGTGGCCCTACGCCCTGCACTGCGTGAGATACAACACTGGCGGCCCGTGTGCCTGGACTCGGCCCAACCCCCACGCGGCGCCCCCCGAAAGCCGCGCAGCAGAGGCCACCTCCGGCGAAGCGCCCCTCTCTGTGCGCGCAGCCGATCCTGCGCCAGGCGAGGGGAGCATTCGTAGGGGAACGAACAATGAGATAAACATTAGGTCGGGCATGTCCTCCTACTGGGGGATTCTAAACCAAAAAGGAAAGTCAACACATATCCCCCCAAAAGACCAAACAAAATCCAAAAATCGTCCCCATACTATTCGCTGGCTACTTTTGAGAGAACGCGTTTCACGGGCGCTTGCCTTGGGAACATTCGGCGGCGCATTTCAAACCGGGGGCTGGCCCCCCCCCCAAACACGCGGCGCCGTCGATCAAAACCAGGGGGACTCCCATCCCCCGCAAATCCCCTCCCCTCCCGAACCCCCCACCCTCCCAAGGGCGGGGGGAGAGGGGTTCAAACCCCCCCCCCCCAGGCGCCGGCGCCGGAGCTGGCGGCCACCAGCAGCGCCCACGGCGGGGACGCAGCGACGATGACCAGAGGCAGCCCAGGGAGGGGGGGGGATTCGAACACCCCCCCCCTCTCCCAAAGGGGGGGGGGGGTGAAAACTCCGCACCCACCCACCCACCCTCGACGCCAGCGCCGGCGGCGGCCAGCAGCGCCGGCGCTGGCGCCGGCGACGGCGGGGACGCAGCGCGACGAACCAACCACCACCACCACCACCACCACCACTACCACCACCACCACCACCGCCTCAATTCACCACCACCACCACCACCAACAGCACCACACAACCACCACCATCACCACAGCCACCACGACCACCACAATCACCACCGCAACTCACCACCACCACTACCAGCAGCACAACCCACCACCACCACCACAAACCACCACAAACCACCACACCACAACCACTCCGCCGCCACCACCACCACAAGCACCACCTCCACAAACCACCGCCACAACCACAACCCACCACCACCACAACAAACCACAACCACACTACCACCAAACCACCACCACCACAACCCACTACCGCCACCATCACAAAAACCCACCACCACTACCACCACCTCCAGTCTACCACCACACCACCACCACCACCGCCACAACCACCACCACTACCACCACCACTACCAGCAGCACAACCCACCGCCACCGCCACAAACCACCACACCACCACCACCACCACCACCACAACAAACGTCCACAAACCACCGCCACCACCACAACCGACTACCACCACCACCATCACCACAGACCACCACCACACCACCACAACCACCACCACCACAACTCACCATCACCACCACCACAAAAACCAACCACCACTACCACCACCACTACAATCTACCACACCACCACCACCACCACAAACCACCACGACTACCAGCAGCATAACCCACCACCACCACCACAAACCACCACACCACCACCACTCCGCCACCACCACCTCCACCACAAGCACCACCTCCACAAACCACCGCCACAACCACAACCCACCACCACCACCACAAACCACCACCATACCACCGCCAAGCCACCACCACCACCACAATCCGCCCCCACCACCACCACAAACCACCACCACACCATCACCGCACCACCACCACCACAACCACCTACCGCCGCAACCACCACCACCACCACCACCACAACAAGCCACCACACCACCACCACCACAACCACCACCGCCACCACCACCACCACAACAACCCACCACCACCACCACCACCACCACCACCACCACCACCACCACCGTCGTCCTCGTCGACGCTCCCCGCCGCCGCCGCCCGCCGCCGCAGGCGCCGCGCCAGCCAGCCAAGAAATGGACAGCGTCGTCCCCGCCGCCGTCGCCAGCCGCCGCCGACCCCAAGCGCAGTGCCGGCCCGGAGAGGGAAGCCGGGTTCCGACCCCCCCCACCCCGTCACGAGAGGGGCCCCCCCCCCTCCGTTGCGAGACGGGGGGTGGGGTTCGAACCCCCCCCCCCTTCGTCACCAGGGGGGAGGGGGGGGGGGATCGAAACTCCCCTCCCCCTCCAACGCCCCCCCTCCAAGCGACCACAGAACGCCCTCTGTCCTACTTTTGAATATCCCTCCTGTAGAGGGACAGGCCCGACTTCACATACACAAAAAAACTCAGAGGTCCGCGCGGATTTCTCGGATCGGCGCTGGGACCCCCTGGCGGCGCCTCTGGCGCCGCCCCTGGCGCGCTCCGCGCGCCAGGGAGGGGGGTTCAGCGCCGATCCGAAAACTCCGGCCGGACCTCCGAATATTTCTGTTTATCTCATGTCTCGTTCCTCTAATGTTTAAAGTCGGTGCGAGTGCTCGACCGGCTGTCTCGAAGCAGACGAGAAAGCTAGGAGCATCGAGCTATTGACCCAACCAGCCAAGCTGATCTTGAAGATCAACCGCCATTTTCTAGATAGAAGGCAACAACTGGAAGGGGGGGTCGGGCGAAAGGGGTGATAGCAAAGGGGGGGGGTGAGAATCAGCTCACGTAGCTGATCTTCCCGGCGCCTCCTGGCGCCGGAGGCGGCCATGCATCGAGGAATGGGCCCCTCCGTGAGGCCGAAACCAGCTGCATGCAGCAAATTTCGTAACCCCCCATTTCCCAATCCCCCCCTTTCGCCCGGCCCGAGAAAGAGGGACGGGAGGACGGGGGGCGAAGGAACCCAGTTCGTCCAAGCCTCTCTGTCCGTGCCGCCGCGGGCGTTGCCCCGTGGCGACCGCCGTCGTCTGTCCGTCCGCGGGCGCCGTCGGCCTCGGACCACGGATCCGGAGGAGGGCCAGTTGAGACAACGGCGGCCCGCTGGCCCAGCCCGAGCCCGCCCCAAATCCGCCGCCGGACCCCTCCCTGGGTCCCTCCCGGCCCTCGCCATCGCTCGGACGTCCATTTCCTGTGTTTTTTGGGGGGGTCCGTGCGTGGCTTTTGCGCCAGATGATCAAGGATGCTCCTCGACGGCCCTCGCCGAAGGAAAAATGCACACGTCCGAGCGATGCCAGGGGCCCGCTGCTCGAGGCGGCTCCGGCCGTGGCCGCGCGAGGCCTCCCAGGCCGTCGCCTCTCGCGCGAAATCTCTTCTTCCCCTCGAGGCCTGGACAGCTCCTGCTGCAGCCTCTCCCCGTCGGCGGCCTCGGCCTCCAAGACGGAGGCGCGCGCCCGCGCCTCCTCCGGAGGATATATAGAGGGCAACAACTGGAAGGGGGGGGTCCTTCAGATGCAGGTGCAGCCCGTCGATGAGGTCGCCCCCTTGGGGCAGGAGGGGGCGCCGGCCGGCCGGCAGCGCGCCCCGGCCCGGGATCCAGAGGCCGCGTCTGGGCCGGCCGCCGCGGCACGGCCGGGGCCGGCGTGTGCCTCGGCGGGCGTCGGGCCAGTCCCCAGGCCTCGCCATCGCTCGGACGTCCATCCCAGACGTCCATTCCATCCTGAATCCCCCCGTCCAGAAGCACATGAACAAGTAGGCCCCCATCCCAGGCGACCCCGAATTTCTCAATCTCCTCTGGACGTTCGTCTCCCCATTTGTTTTTACAAGAACCAAAGGAATATGAAGAAACGGCATAAACATGAATTGGCCATCGCTCGGATGTCCATTCCCTGTGTTTTTGTCGGTCTCGTGCGTGGTTTTCTCGCCAGATGGTCCAGGATGCTCCTCGATGGTCCTCGCCGAAGGAAACATGCACACGTCCGAGCGATGCCAAGAGACAGGCTCGCGCCGTGGAGCAATCATGGTGCGATATGCTTCGTCAAGGCTTCGACGCCTCCTGAGTGGGGTCGGAGAGTAGATGGGGTCGGAGGATCGGGCCGCCTCGCCGCTGCATCGGCGATGCATCGGCGATGCATCGGCGATGCATCGGCGACGCACCAGCGATGCACCGTCGACGTCGGCGAGGCATCGGCGACGTCGGCGTGAAGCAAATCGGGACCCACATCGAGCCGCCTCGGCGATGCATCGGCGATGTGGCGCGATCCTCCGACGCCGCCTGCTCGCAGCCCCTCTGGGAGGCCTGGGATGTTCGGCCGTTTCCCACACCACGAATCGATGGACGTCCTGGAGTCTCAGGGTTGGGTCTCTTGTGCAAGGTCTCTTGTGGACTGGCCTCCACTGTACCTCTCCTCTGGGTGGGCGGGCAGATCGCGGGCCAAGGCTCTGTGTGCGTTTTCTTCGTCGGCGATTCGACATTGGGCGGAAGGGGGGGCAGGGGGGTCGGTCTGGCTCCAAACCTCTGCTAGATGCGACTGTTTGCCACAGTGCGTTCTGTGGGGGAGACTCCGCCTGCTTGAAACGGGCGCCAAAAACAGCTAAGCTCTACTCCTTGGGGGGAAGTGGGAGGCAGGGGGGACGCGAGGTCCCGCGCCGATCGGCAAAACGACCAACAAGAAAAGGAGCACTTGCCTGGTGAGGATGGGGCCATGTCTGGCGGTGCCGAGCGCCGGGGCCAGGGGTGGGCGGTTGGCGCCCGCCCCGTGGGCCCGAGTACTTGTCCATGACGATGCACACGAAGCACTTCTCGAAGAAGACCTCGGGGGGGGGGGAGCCGGCCGATGGGAGCCGGGGCGCGGAGCCAGGCGCGGCGCGGGGCGGAGGGAGGGGGGGCCGGGAGGAGCTGCTGCGCGGCGCGCGAGCCGCGCTGTACTGGGCCTGGGGCGCACGGCTGGTGCCGTGGGCGTGCACCGAAGCAAGGGCAGGAGGGGGGGGGAGGCAGGAGGAGGAGGAGGAAACAACAGGCGCGCGGCACGGCGAGAGGTCGTGGACGCGATGGCAACGAACACCCTGACCGTCCTGTCATTGAGCCCAGTGTGTGTTTGAAGTGTTTGGAACATGTTCTAGAAATGCTTGGAACATGCTTTTACAGCATCAAGACATGTATTACACATGTTTTATGTTTTAAGACATCTGGGTACTATTTGACAACATGCTTCCTCTTCATGGATCGTCGTCCACAAGCGAAGGGCTTAAGATGTCTGCGCTGCACTTTCGCCGCCGCTGGGGCCACCTGGCAGGACGGCGAGGTCCCAATAATTTGGCGTCCACGTGGCAGGCTCGCCGAACGGCTGGAGCCGCATGTCGCCAAAGGACTCACCGCCGCTCGAGGGTCCCGCGACTCCCACAGCCAGTTGAGGCGGAGGGCGGTGGCGCTCTGTCTCGCGACATCCCCGCGGCAACCCTCCGCAAGCGCCTAGGTTAGGTCGGGCATGTCCTTCTACAGGCGAGATTTCGACGAAAACCAAGAAATAACCAAACAATACTCCAACGATGTTCAAAAATAGTCAAAAAATCGTCCCCTGACTATTCTTTGCAAGTTTTTGAATGTTCCTCCTGTAGAGGGGCACGCCTGACTTCAGCCCGGGGTGCTGCCGCGCGAGTCCCACCCGCAAGGTGCACAAACCATGTGACTACCTACCCTTGCCATCGCTCGGACGTCCATTCCCCGTGTATGTTTCGGTTTCGTGCGTGCATGTTTAGATGGACCAACATGCTCCTTGATGGTCTTCGCCGAGAAAAAACGCACACGTCCGAGCGATGCCGAGTACCGGCCGCAGGCGATGGTGTCAGCCACCCGCGCCGCGTGCCGCATCGAGGCGGCGGGTGCGACGCCTGCGTGCCGCTGCGCAGGCACCGCACGTGGCGAGCCCTGCCGCCGAAGCTGCTCGGACCTTGCCGGCCATCCCGCACGGGAAAACGGGCGGTGAGGGCAGGAGCACGCACAGGCCGGGCGGTACAGTCTTCCTCCTCCTCCGCCTCCTCCTCCTGCTCCTTCTCCTCCTTCCTCCTCCTTCTCCTCCTTCCTCCTCCTCCTCCTCCTCCTCCTCCTCCTCCTCCTCCTCCCTCCTCCTCCTCCTCCTCCTCCTCCTCCTCCTCCTCCTCCTCCTCCTCCTCCTCCTCCTCCTCCTCCTCCTCCCTCCTCCTCCCTCCTCCTCCTCCTCCTCCTCCTCCTCCCCTCCGCCTCCGCCTCCGCCTCCTCCCTCCTCCCTCCTCCCTCCTCCTCCTCCTCCTCCTCCTCCTCCTCCTCCTCCTCCCTCCTCCATCCTCCTCCTCCTCCTCCTCCTCCTCCTCCTCCTCCTATCCTCCTCCTCCTCCTCCTCCTCCTCCTCCTCCTCCTCCTCCTCCTCCTCCTCCTCCTCCTCCTCCTCCTCCTCCTCCTCCTCCTCCTCCTCCTCCTCCTCCTCCTCCTCCCTCCCTCCTCCTCCTCCTCCTCCTCTCCTCCTCCTCCCTCCTCCTCCTCCTCCCTCCTCCTCCTCCTCCTCCTCCTCCTCCCCTCCTCCTCCTCCTCCTCCTCCTCCTCCTCCTCCTCCTCCTCCTCCTCCTCCGCCTCCTCTCCTCCTCCTCCTTCCTCCTCCTCCTCCTCCTCCTCCTCCTCCTCCTCCTCCTCCTCCTCCCCCTCTCGCACTGGCTGCGAAGCACGCGGCCGCGGTCCTGCTGCGGGAGCGCCCCCCCGCGTGCAAGGAGCCGACCGAGGAGCCAGCCCGCGCGCGGCGCGCCGTCGAGTGCCTCTGCCGCGCGCCGCTCCGCGGCGGCACCGCTGCGATGGGCATGGGCACCCCGCCGTGCAACACGGTCGGCTTCTGCGTTGCGGGGCCGAAGATAACTAGAGGTCTCCTAGATGGGGTCGGAGCACAGGAACGCGCCGCATCGCCGATGCATCGGCGATGCTTCGCCGATGCATTGGCGGTGCAACGGCGACGTCAGCGATGCATCGGCGACGTCGGCGTGGAGGAAATCGTGCCCCACATCGAGCCGCATCCTCGATGCGTCGGCGATGCGGCGCGATCCACCGACCCCATCTACTCCGACCCCTTCCAGAAAGCCGAGCAGAACGGGCGTCAGGGCTGATGTCGTCGTCGCTTGCCCTTGCACGCCTAGGGGGGGGGAGGGAGGAGGGGGGGGGGAGGGGGAGGGAGGGGAGGGGCCCAAGGGGGCAGGGGGGGGGGGGAAGGGGGGGTGGCCCGAGGAGACTGGAGACGGGAAGGGGGGGGGAGGGAAGGGGCGGGAGGGAGGGGAGGGGGGGCAGGTCCCGACACGACCTCCCAGACGGCGTCCAACCTTCACGGGGCCACTGTGTCGATGCTCGAATTACCTGGGACAACTGCGGCCTGGGGTAACTTGGGTTTGGGCCCCCGAGGCGCGAATCTGCACTTATATCCCTGACTGCCCCCAACCCTGCTGATTCGGGATGGTTGGACGCCCGAGTTATCCAGGATAACTCGGGTCCGGGGTAACTCCTGTTCGGGCCCGCGGGGCGCGAATCTGTAGTTACCCCAGACCGCCACCAGCCCGGCCCAACCCCGATGATTCGGGGCCCTGAGCGAGTAGGAGGAGGAGGAGGCGGAGGAGGAGGAGGAGGAGGAGGAGGAGGAGGAGGAGGAGGAGAGGAGGAGGTCGACATAAATTTCCGGACGCCACGCAGACCTGCTTTTCGGGGCGAGTCCCCCCGCAGCCTCTGGCCGAGGCCCCCCGAGACGCCCCTCGACGACGAAGCATCTCACCTCGAGGCGCCGCCGCCGCGGCGGTCGCAGCGTCCCGCCGCCGGCCTCGGTCGTGCGCGCTGGGCCACGGCCCCCCTTGCTGCCCGTCGACCTCCTCTCCGACGCCCTCCGGAGGCCGTCGGCGCCTCGGACGCCCTGCGGCGGCCCTCGGCGCGGAGGCCGTGGGCCGCTGCGCTCCACAGGGGGGGTCCTGGTCGAGCGTCGACGGGAGACGAGGAGGCTGCGCAGACAGAAACTGTCGCAGCCCCGCGCGGCGCTCCAAAAGATTGCGTGTGCCGCCTGCCCTCTTCGAGTCTGCGAGAAATCGACGAGAGGGTAGAGAGGGCGGGCCCCGTGGAACTTCACGATGCACTCGCCCTGCACAGCCTGCAGCAGCTCGGTCTCCTTCTTGATCTGGGCAATCGGCGTCTCTACCTGCGGGAGCGGAGAAGCGGACGAGCAGCCGCGATGGTGAGGAGACAGGATGATGATGATGATGATGATGATGATGATGATGATGATGATGATGATTATGATGATTATGATGATGATGATGATGATGATGATGATGATGATGATGATGATGATGATGATGATGTTGGTGCTGAGGAAGAGGAGGAGGAGGAGGAGGAGGAGGAGGAGGAGGAGGAGGAGAGGAGGATGAGGAGGAGGAGAAGAATAATCAGCATCATCATCACCATCATCGTTATCGTCATCGTCATCAACATCAGCATCAGCATCAGCATCATCAGCATCATCATCATCATCATCATCAGGCGTATGTTAAGATCCGTGCAAGCGGGGCGTCTCAACTTGGAAGAGGCTGTCCGGGTGGCCAGGCCCAGACTCCCGCGGACAATGCTCAAGGGCTCCCCCCTGTCCTCCGTGCCCGTGCGGATGCCCCGTGGTCTCGGGCGGGGTCCTGCGGGGGAGTGTTGGTTTCTTGCGATCTGCGCTGGCTTCCTGGAGGGGTCCTGATTCCGGGGTGGACATCGCCGGCAATACGGCTGGACCTAAAACACAAAAACATCCTTCGAGAGCATGTCACCCCCCGCTGGCCAATCTGAAGCACTTTCGAAGGGGTGAACACCCCCAGGAATCACAAGAGTATCCAACAAACAAACAACAACAGGGTACCCTCATCGAACCGAACTCGATCGTATGCCTCGCTCCGACCGTAAACCGAAAGACTGTTTCGCGGCGGTTCTGGAGGAAATTACTCGTGCTGCCAGGTTGTCCAAGGATCGCGCTCATCTGCCGCGATGGGAGAGAAGAGGCCGAGAGAGGGCAGGCAGGGAACGCCTCTTGCGGGTGAGTGCATCCTCGCTGGAGCTGCTGCCAGCCCGGTGGATGCCATGGCATTGCACTCGCACAGCTTTACCATTGAGCTAGAAACGTGTTCTCGAATGGCTAATCACTGTTTCAAACATGTGTTGAACATGCTTCTGCAAATTCAGAAATGCTTAGAGCGCGCTGGAACCTCTGCGAAGTATTTGGCAACACGCCACAACGCTAGCCGTGGTCTTCCCCCTACGCGTGCGGCCGTGCTTCCCCCTCGGCTCGGGGGCTCTGAGTGCCCCCCGTTAGCCCAGCGGCACCCTGCCCCGTGAGGCCTCGTGCCGACCTGCCACGGGCACCGTCTGCCCCCTTTGCGCGCGTGCGTTTTGCCCTTGGCGGGCCCGGGCTCAACAGACCCAGTCACCGTGCCAAAGATTGCGTCGGCTCCTGGAGAGGCTCTCGTGTGGGGCCCTCGGGAGAAGATCGGAAGCTGGGCGAGGGCTGTTTTAAAAAAGAACCGTGGCTGCTAAAACGCCCCCCCCGGAAGGAACAAACAACTTCCCCGAATGAGGCGCGGCACGCGAAACAGTCACCGGGCCTCTTCCCGGAAGGACGAAGACAACTTCCCGGAGGTCGATTGCTTGGACGCCCGAAATGGGTACGGAAAGAATGGGCACTATGCCCAACAAAAATTGTTGTCCCAAGCCAACAGCGGCCGCTGTTGGGCAGGCGGCCTTCTGTCTCGAATGGACACAGGCCGCGGCGGCGTGGACAGCGAATCCTGTTCAAAATGAACAGGAACTGTTATTGGGCATTGTACCCCTTCTTTCAGTACCCATTTTCGGGCGTCCAAAAATTTGAGCAGCCACGGACTTAGCAGCCCTTGCCCGGCTTCCGAGAAGGAGCGAAGGCCCATCGCGAGGCTGTCGGGAGCCCGCCGCAGCTCGGTGCCCCGTCGGGAGCTCGGCCGGGCCCGGCAGGAGCGCCGACCGAGACGCCGCGCTGTGCTGGCACGGCGGCCGGGGCGTGGCGGGGAGAGCTGGATACAGTCGGGGCGTTGGTCGACACATCCATGAAGGAACAAACATTCACAGAGAAAATCATGCAAGCAGGAACCCCGAAAGCGCAGCGCAGCTGCGCAGGGCCCCTGGCAGCCTGCGCCACTCGCATACCACAGCGCGACCGCCGCAGCTGATCAAGGGGGATAGCTGTCCGCCGCCGCGGCGGCTGCGGGTGCAGGGCCTGCCGACGCAGAGGCCGCCCCCTGCGCAACAGTAAGGGACCCTAAATAAGGAACGGGGCCCCTTTCCTCCAGAAATTGAACTTCGATCTCCCTTCGAAACCCTAATAGGAAAACGTGGGGCAAACCGTGAAACCATTCAGGAACACGGAGCCCCTACCCACCGAAAATGGTTCCTTCTTCAGCGCCCCGACTGTACTTACAACGCACAGGTTCCAACAGCATCGATCTATAGCTACCCAAGCACGATCACGCAAACACTTTGCTTCTGTAGCAACACATTGCCTAAGCTCTGCGCTGGAATCAGGGGAACGGCACATGTGTTTTGCAGATCTGTCAGAGAACGAAATGCGGACAACACGCGCGCACACGTTACGCGACCATATCCGCGCGCGCATGTCGCAATCCTTCCGAACATTCTAGCACAGCTGTGCCCAACCACGTACAGAAGCCAAATGGACGCTCCAAGACAACAACAATTAAACCAGTTCTAAATTCCAGCGCGCGCGCACTTCCTCATCATCCTCATCACCACCATATGTATCATCATCGCCAGCGTCACCACTACCATCGCCATCATTATCAACATCATCATCGTCGACGTCATCATCACCACCGTCGTCACCAACGTCACCATCGATGTCGTCGCACCCATCAAATTTCGGTGCGCGAGCTTCCTCGGCCTTCTCATCCGCACCATTGTCGTCACAACCGCCCGCTTCGTCATCGCCACCGCTATGATCATCACCACCCGCTTCATCACCACCACCATCGTCCTCGCTGGCACCGTCCCCGCCGCCGTCGTGAACGTCAGCATCGTCTTCGTCGAGCTTGTCGCCCCGCTGGGCTTTGCCAACAAGTGGCGGATGGGTGGGCGGGACGTCGGCTCGAGCACCGGAGCTGACGACGTCAAACTTTGGCGTGTGATTTTTGCACCACGCAGCGCACGTCGGACGTGCAAGGGCCCCCCCCCCTCTAGCGTCCGAGGCAGAGCAGGGGTCGGGGCGGAAAAGAGGCGCACGAGGGCGGAGGGCGGAGGGACGGGCCAGAGGGGAGGGGGGTGGCAGGGGAGGGACAGGGGAGGCAGGGGAGGGAGAGGGGGGCGGCGGAGGGAGGAGGACGGGGAGGAAACAGAGCACGCCTTTTGCCAGGCTCTGCCCTGCTTCCGACACTAGAGCACCAGCGCCCCGCGATGCCGCCGAAAATGTGAGCGGCCTGCACGAGAAGTTGCTCGCTCGGGAGTGCATTGGGAACCAATAGTCCTCAGAATATAAAACATCCTGTCCCTGAGTATGGAGAGCGCTCGTGTTGTCATGTGGCACATTCGATGTGGTGGCCAGTCGGTGCCCTCAGAATAAATTCTTGGGACTAAAAGTTCCCCGATGCGGAGTATGACCAAGGCCCGGCTCAGCCGAGTGGCCCTGGAGCCTACGAAGGCAATGTATGCAGCTTCGCTGCGCAGCCCTTCAGCGGCCGTTGGCGACTGCGAGGGCAGTCGCGCTTCAAGTCGCGGGCTGCATAAAAATCTCCGTTCAAGTACGCATCGACAACCATACACACAAACGCAAACACACGCGCACGTGCTTGCACGGTCATGTGTATGGATGCGGACACGGACAACGGCCACGGACACGGGGGCGCACGCTGGCGCACACGTGCATGCGGACGACGGTGCGCAGACGCACAGACACACACACAGACACGCAGACGCAGACGCACAGACACGCACGCTCGCGTAAGCAGACACACGGACACGTGCACACAGATACGCACAGACAAGCACAGAACGCACAGACGCACAGACGCACAGAGACACACACACACACACACACACACGCAGACACGCAGACACGAGGACACGAGGACACACAGCAACACACACAGAGACAGACACACCGCCCGCAAGCATGTGCTCTCCTCCGAGGCGGCACACCCTCGGCCGGCCGACGAGACGCGTGGCGCGCAGGCTCAGTCCACGACGGCACAGTGCAGATCGCGCTCCAGTCGGGGCGACTCTCTCCAGGCTTCGGGGCAGGCGAAAGCGAGCCATGCATGAGACACCACGCGCTGTGCGTGGCTCGCTGTCGCCGGCCCCTAATCGAGGCAGGTACCCTGTAGCAGCTCGCAGTGGCGAACAAACGACGAACACTACATAGAGGCGAAGATAACTAAAGGGAAGCAGCTGGTACGCACCCGGACACACCCACGGCCCAAGCGTCATATTCAGCGAGCAGGCAAGATGCGAGGAACGCCCAAGTAGCGTGCCCCGACCGATCCCAAAACTAAGTAAGTCGACAGGCAGGGGCATCAGCGCGCTACCATATATACATACACACACATATATAGAGAGAGAGAGAGAAACCAACAAAAAGAGAGAGAGAGAGAGAAACGACAAAATAACGAGAAAAGAAAGAGAGAGAAAAAAAGACAGCGGCAAGGACAGGAGGCAAACGAAAGACAACGGCGAGACGGCAAGGAAACGGCCGAAGCCAGCCAAGGCGAAACGAGCAAGACAAAGGACGAGAGCGAGGCTGAGCGGCAAACCAGGATTGCAGCAACCGCTGGCTGCGAACCGTGCGTAGTATGAGGAGGGAACAACACAAAAGGAGAAAGCCAGAGGGCAGGTCATGCAACTGCCAATGCCGAAACGCACTGCAGCTCGAGGCCGTTGCCACATGAAGTGACACGATGGGGTGCGCAGGAGCGTGCGCAGGAACACCAGCGATGGCGGTCATAAGCGGGTGGTGCACGTAGGCGCGCCCTGCCCCAGGTTTCGCGGGTGGCAAAGCAGGGGCTGGTTCGCACCGCGCGCCAACGCGCCCAGCACAACCGCGCTGCCCCAACCGAAATCAGCCGCGGTGCAGGCATCGCTGTGGGCTCGCAGCGGGCGGGAAAAAAAACAAGCGTAGAAGAAATCAG